ACTTTTAACTTTAAATTGATACCAAATTTATTTAAATCACATCAGTATTTAAAAAGATATCCCGGTTAATGTGAAAAAGTAAGGAAAAAGACATGTATCAACTCTTTGATACGTCGCGAGTTGCGGCCTATTTACCCCCTATAAAAGCACGTGTTTTCGGATTTTGCTTTTACACGTGGATCCTTACACATCTCCGCTTCTTTTGACACTTTACCTGGGATTCTACACCTTCAGAAGCAGCACAAATCGTTGTACTATTGCAAGAAGAGCTCAGCCAGCAGGCTGTCGCACGTCAGCTCCACATAAGCCAGTCCTGGGTTTCGAAAGTTTTAAGACGCTTTCGGGAGACTGGTGGCTTTATCCCGAGACCAAGTTCTGAACAGCACCGGTGCACATCGCAGAGGGATGACCGTTTTTTCATGTCAACCTCTCTATAAAATCGTCATTTGACTGGTATCGACGTCCAGCAAGAGCTCAGAAATGTTCGTAGGATAGCTGTTAGCAAGTGGACAGTTCGTCTAAGATATAAGCAATAGAATTTGACTCCAAAAAGGCCTGCTACGGGCTCGAAACTGACGGCAGGTCACCGATAAGCACGCTTTCAATTTGCTCGTACACATCTCGATGGGAAGTCGAGCAAGCCACCCCTATAAGCCACTGTTTCAGCGAACCAGCACTGCACAAATCTCTCCCCAGGCCGCCTATAGACCCGACCTCTTCGACTGCTGCACTGCAAACACAGTCTGCATTCATCGGAGAACAAAACTCGCCTCCATTACTCGCCTTCCCATCAAAATAAGTGCGAGCTAATTGAAAGCGTGCTAGTCGGTGACTTGCCGTCAGTTTCGAGCCTGTGGCAGACCTTTTTGGAGTCAAATTCTATTGCTCATATCTTAGACGAACTGTCCACTCGCTAACAGCTATCCTACAAACATTTCTGGGCTCTTGCTGGACGTCGATATCAGTCAAATAACGATTTCATAGAGAGTTTGACATGAAAAAACGGTCATCCCTCTGCGATGTGCACCGGCGCTGTTCAGAACTTGGTCTCGGGATAAAGCCACCAGTCTCCTGAAAGCGTCTTAAAACTTTAGAAACCCAAGACTGGCTTATGTGGAGCTGACGTGCGATAGCCCGCTGGCTGAGCCCTTCTTGCAATAGTGCAACGATTTGTGCTGCTTCTGAAGGTGTAGAATCCCAGGTAAAGTGTCAAAAGAAGCGGAGATGTGTAAGGATCAACGTGCGAAAGCAAAAATCCGAAAACACGTGCTTTTATAGGGGGTAAATAGGCCGCAACTCGCGACGTATCAAACAGTTGATACATGTATTTTTCCTTACTTCTTTACATCAGCCGGGATATCTTTTTAAATACTGGTGTGATTTAAATGAATTTGGTATCAATTTAAAGTTAAAAGTTTAATCTTTAAAATGGTTCCACTTTTTTTGTTACTAACAAACTCGTTAGTTCACAAGATCGCGTGGAAACAACTTCATGTAAGTGATTCCATACTTTTGCTCGCAAGTGTAGTTCGTGATACTCCCAAGTAACCAAAAAGTTCTCAACACGTCTTTTGCTTGTTACAATTGGAACAAGGTTGTAGTTGTACGCTGACTGACTGTACTGTAAAACAAATAAAGCAGCTACGGTTGTATAAGGAATATGATTGATTAAAAGAATTATTTGTGCTCAGTGTACCTACAGTTTGCACAAAATTCGAAAAGGGATTATGTCCAAATATGTAGTTGTACTTACTTTCCTTTTTAGCAAGAAGTTCAGGCATTAAAAAATCTTTTTATTGTCAGATTGGTTGTGTTGTTGAATTTCAGGAACTGAACCTGTGGTGGACTGCAGTGGACTGTATGCGTTTGTGTGTGTTCGAGAGCGCTGACCGGACGATGATGACTGCCGTTGAGAGCTTGCCCTTACTATGTCAGGCGTAGTAGGTGCTACTTGCAGGAATAAAACCACTATTTCACTTGCTGAGACTTCTCGCGTTTATTATTCGCTTCCTTTTCTCAGTTCTTGCTTCTTCAGATCACTTGTTCTCTGAACTGAACAAAACAATACATGCCAGCTGGAGCGGTCCATTCCGTATTTATGGGGGGCGGCTATCTCCGTCCCGCTTTCACACGCTATTGCTATCCCTGTCTTCGGGAAATCCACAGATTTTGCTAATTTTCTCCAACTGGCAGGTAGTTTTACAATGGTTTCTTATTTTCTACAGATGCGTAATTAAATTATCTACATTATACAAAAAGTTTCATCACAAAATTCCCAAAATTGGCGAAGTTATTGACAAAAAACCTAAAACGGCTCTCTTTACGGTATTGCCTCGCGCAACGGACCATCCGTGCAAGACAAGGACAAAACATATTGCTATCTCACGTTCTAGAATGTTCGAAGCGAGAGGTCCGATATTTCCGTCTCGTTTCTTCTCTATTTTTTCCTGAACATTCTAGATTTTCCAGAAAAGTGTGAAAGAGAAGCTATTTTGTGGAAGTGAGAGATCAGACAATGCAAGAAAGAGGCCTACCGAGTGAGTAAGCGAGAGAGCCTGATGGTTTTCGCTACGGTATTGCCTTTTTGGCGAAAATTTCATGTTCATTTTCTTAACTACGAAACAGACAGCTGGAGCGGTTCATTCCGTATTTATGGGGAGCGGCTATCTCCGTCCCGCTTTCACACGCTATTGCTATCCCTGTCTTCGGGAAATCCACAGATTTTGCTAATTTTCTCCAACTGGCAGGTAGTTTTACAATGGTTTCTTATTTTCTACAGATGCGTAATTAAATTATCTACATTATACAAAAAGTTTCATCACAAAATTCCCAAAATTGGCGAAGTTATTGACAAAAAACCTAAAACGGCTCTCTTTACGGTATTGCCTCGCGCAACGGACCATCCGTGCAAGACAAGGACAAAACATATTGCTATCTCACGTTCTAGAATGTTCGAAGCGAGAGGTCCGATATTTCCGTCTCGTTTCTTCTCTATTTTTTCCTGAACATTCTAGATTTTCCAGAAAAGTGTGAAAGAGAAGCTATTTTGTGGAAGTGAGAGATCAGACAATGCAAGAAAGAGGCCTACCGAGTGAGTAAGCGAGAGAGCCTGATGGTTTTCGCTACGGTATTGCCTTTTTGGCGAAAATTTCATGTTCATTTTCTTAACTACGAAACAGACTAATTACTTAATTTGCATTATTTGACATGATGCTGCCAACATTAATCTCGACTATTCTTGACGTCGCTAACAGAACCTGTGCAATTGGTTGTGTTCTTTGCATGAACTAAGCCTACTGTACAAACTCCTATTAGGCCTAAATTCTAATAGAGAAAGTTGAGATATCCGCATTTTATCTCAAACCACCCTCGAGGATCAATTAAAAGTGGGATCTCGACAATTATTGTTGTAATAACAACGCGATGTTGGCGGAAAATTTTGCAAAGTCTAGCAAGTTTTTGTGAAACGTATGAAGGACCCATTTTGGGGGAGAACTTTCGGATTATTTAAGTTGAAAACTTTATAAAAGTTCCACCTTACCTTGGCCAACACAATTTTTCTGACTATATTAAAGAAGACTGAGGTCGACATATTCTCAGATGCATATAATTTTGTTTGGATTAGTTGTTTAAATAACTGAACTTGTAGTTACTTGAAAACTTCATAAAATAATAAGCATGTCGGTAGAAAGAAAGAATAATTTCGTTTAGGGATGTTCAATGAAAATGAAAATGAAAAATCATTATTAAATTTAGACCAATATTTGGCACTTATGATAATGCTCACACAGATTAAAACATACCTAAATAAATATTATTTACTTTTAACCATAATCCTGAAACAATGGAAACAAGGAAAATATTTTTACGTTTTGTTCGTAGTTTTTTGCAAGTGAACCACGTGACAATAATTATTAATTATTGCTTTAGTATGAAACCCGTACCTGTCTAACTGCCTATTGGTTATACTGTGAACTTTAAATTTTACGCTTTTCAGCACAAATAAAACCACTATACCATACACATTAATCCTGCACAACATCTTACTAAATAATTAATCTTAATAGCAATTTCGGCTATAAAACAATAATCCAAGTTCCTTCATTAATGTTTTCCCTGATAAACTTCTCATTTATTACAACTGAACGGCCATAAAAACCGCAACGTCTCCTCCGAGGCCGATAGATGGCGTCATAATCGCACTTTTAATTATTTTAATCGTTCTTTACTAACTACAGCCATTAATTCATTAAAAAAGAATAATCAACGAGCTTGTTTTACAACGGGTATAGTTTTGTTACACCCTTTCTGGTTGCAATTTTACCGGGTATAATATACAGGGTGGCCAAAAATAGCGACGACGAAAACAATTGAATATTTTTGTGTTTATACGTATTACATATGCAATTAACTATTTCAATAATGCCATTTCAGAAGTGTACATTACGATGTGGGCTGATCAAAAAACAAAAGAGAAACTTTTGTTAGCCTGTTAAAATGAAATTAACACACCACAAGGAAGACCACACACTACCACAGGAGCTTTCTAAAGTAAACGAATTCCAGGATTCGCGCCAGACAACGCTGGAGGTTTTACATTTATGTAAACGTCTCATAATATTGTTTGCACTACGACTACGACCTACGTTGTATAACAGCGGAGGCTAACTCTAACAAGAATGACAGGGTTTACTGGTTATGAAGAAAGAATATCTGAATAATCTCAATAATAACAGTAAAAGTACTAAAAATATACTAAATTAAGATTGATTGGATGACCATTTAAGGATCATTTATTAATTACTAGCTGACCCGGCGAACTTCGTACCGCCTTAGCGTAGAGATTTTCTTTATATTTTTTTCCGTAAAAACCTTGTACAGAGTATTAGAAAACTACAAAAAAAAAATCAGCCAAATCGGTCAAGCCGTTTTCATGTTATGTCGTGACAACGGAAAACGGGTTTCATTTTTATATATATAGATAATTTAATTAATCGTACCTTTTTACTCGACTGTGCCAGAAGGAGGGTTATGTTATTAACAAACAACGGAAGTCCGACAGGCTGCTTGCATCCTCCGACTCTTCCTTGACTACTTCTTCAGCACACATTAACTGTAAATAAAAATAAAACCTTAAACATACTTTGTAGAAGTCAAGTCAAGTCAGTTAAACGAGTGAATGACGACAGTTTCAAAAAACAATGTAAGCAACAGACAGTCACACCTATTTGTTCGGTCGTTAACTTTCCGCAGCGTCTCTCAATCCCGTACGTGCTAATCGTTCTCCCCAACCATCTCTCAGGTACTTTGTTACCCTGGTACCGGGTATCTCCAATCGGTCCCAGGGGACTGAGCTACTTGGAAATTGGGAGACGAACGCTAATTTAAAGGTGTGCCGGCATTTGTTTTTATTGTTCTGATCGTTTATGTGAATAGACGCAATTATGAGCGGTAAAAAAATATTCGTATGCTCGTTTTCAACATCAATCCCTAATTTTCTTAAGTGACCCCTTTGAAAACAAAACTCCTGTAATGTATTACAATAGGGGTCACTTAAAAATTAGGGATTAATGATGAAAACTAGACTATTATTATTAGAATAGAAATCCTTGGGGGAGGCCTTTGTCCAACGGGTGTACGTCATTTGGCTGAAACGAAAGACGAACGAACGAGTGATTATTACTTTGATTTGGAACCAGGAATAAATCAGAACGTTGAGTAAGTAAGGAGTTACAATCAACAGCAGACAGTGAAAACTAAGTTGCGGCACTTCTATCGCTTTATTAATATTAGTCTTTCAAGTATTTTGTTAGCCATTCTCGCTTGGATTTATCATTGTTATTTTTCTCTGCGGATTCCCAAGTTCCAATCCCTCTGCAGAGCCAATGTTTATACAAGAGCTTACGGGGAACATGTTAAGAACGCTTTATTTTTGGTACCCGTGTTATCTTAAGAAGTTAAACAATGATTAAAGATGTGACGTCACGTACAAATCAAGTCTTTAACGTTTTGTGACAAAGAAATCAGCATACATTTCTATCTTACTTCAGGCGCGCGCCAACGGGAAACATTTTTTCGCCGTGACAGTATTATCCGTGATAGTAGATACAGGATGTCCCAAAAACAATGGATAACCCTGTAACCATCGATAGGCCTCGCCATGGTCTCCCTAACGTCAAATTTTGACCCCAGTAAAAATATCACCGTTTTCAAGATTTTTAAGTTTTTGTGCATTTTTAGAAAATTGCCACCTGCGATTACTTTTTCTCATGCCATTTCTACAAATGAGGATACTTTTCAATCTAGTTTTTTTCCTTATCACAAGGGATAGTTGGGCTATCAAAAGAAAAGATTAAAGTTCAACAAACTAGTTTAAAAGTATGAAAATTTTAAGAAATTGCTGAGAAGAAGGAACAATAAATTCATTGTCTTTTGATCAGCCATCGTGTAAAAAAAATGTAGGAAGACCATCGTGCCCATTTCCTTAAAAACTTCCTTGGTTAATTGAGATTCTAAAAAGGTATCACAAGCCTATGTATCCCGTATTATTTTTATCTTATAGCTACTTGAATAGCAACTAGTATGAAAACTGCAAAAATGAGTTTTTCTCGTAATCGCAGGTGGCAATTTACTAGAAAATGCACAAAAACTTAAATCGGTGATATTTTTACTGGGGTCAAAAATGGACGTTAGGGAGATCATGGCCAGGCCTATCGATGGATACAGGGTTTTCCATTGTTTTTGGGACATCCTGTATGTTTCTTTCACACCGTAATAAAGAGAAAAAGAGAGGACATGTCTCTCTTGTCGAGCCTTTATATCTACAAAGGTTGTCACGTTATTCCACTAAATTCCCATTTTACAATAGGCACAACATACCTACTTCTGTCTGTATTCAATGTAGTTTACAAAACTCGATTTTTAGGTAAAAACTTAACATTCATTTCTTATTATTATAAAATACACAATTATCAGTTTAATCTGGCTACTGGGACAATCAGATAGTACATAGGTGAGCCTTTTTGAATGAACCTAAGTGTGTAGTAGTTAATAAATTTTTGTTCATTTAAACCTTGGGGGAGGCCTTTGTCCAGCAGTGGACGTCATTTGGCTGAAACGAACGAACGAACGAAACCTGTCATGACTTGCTAAATCTGCACTGGAGAGTGTAGAAATACATAAATGTGTAGTGTTCTCAGTGGAGAAGACACTTAACATGCAAAGGACACTACAACTCCGCTCCGCTCATAGTTGTGAGACTGAAAGCAGATAAACACAGAAAAAAATATTTAAACCTGTATTCCCATTGTTCATTAATTTTAATTACCTACTTTATTAAATTCGCAACTAAAACATATTATATCTCTTCCAGGTACAAAGACAAGTGAATTGATGACCGGTAACCAACATTGACGATGAGATGAAAATAAAAAAACTGTGAAACAAGCAAACAAGAAATCAAGCCTGCTGTAATAAATTTTATAAAAATTAAATATAACTAGCAATAATACGGATTTTATTTAAGTCCTTAATACTTCAGGAAATAAAAAAAAAAGTCAGTTTTAAGTTGCAAACTTTTATAAATCAAGTCCAACCCGTTTCCCTTTCTTTCACAGTTTGGTAGAAAAGGTGCAGCAAAAATGTATACCCTAATAATACTGATAAGTTAAGTTATACATAGTAAAATTTTTCTTAACTGACAGTTATTAGAAACATGATGTAATTTAGATTATAATTTTAAGTTGATTTTAAAACCATAGCACACTGAATCAGTTTAGGACATAATAATATGGTTTTATTTATGCATGTATTAGTTTTTTTTTCGGAGGGAATATGCTGATAGCCGTGAGCGGCTTTTTCAGCTTCACCGGACAATAGGTGAGTGCAGATGGCTCTCAACCTCAAAATTTAAGCAACGAGCCTAAGGGCGCCCCCGAGTGGTGCTCGGACCTCGGCCTAGACAAAATTTTATTAACCGGATGAAAGGTAGAAAATAAAATGTACGCTTGAATCGAATAAAATTCCACCTCTATCTAACTATGACCAAACTTGATTTCCAAGTAGAGGAGTTACCTCATCCATAGATGAGAGAAGGTATAGTTGTTGGAATTCACGATAGAGAGTGAGCTTTACTTGTGTGGTGGCTCGCTACTGTTGGTTTTTCAAAAGTTTTGACAGACATTACACTATCGTTATGTGCATGTACACGTACACATATAAGTAAAGCTCACTCGCCTTCATGAGTTGTAAGTACTATAGTTATGTAGCTCTCCCGCCTTCTTTGACATTTTGTGTAGCCAGAATACTTCACAATTTGGTTCAAATTCACAATTTAGTATTTCTTTCACTCACTTGTACGCATGCGTAGATATAAAATTGCGGATAAAGAACATTCAGCGTGCCTCAGCGCACTTAATAATAATCAGAAGGAATTCTAGACAGAACATAACCTATTTACCAAATTAAAACATCAAATTTCAATTGTCTAAACATGATTATGTACGATACGTTCGATATTATACTGATGACGGCTGTAAAGAAACATCCTATCATTTACTCAAAGGATATAAAACGCCTAGAAAAACAAGCAGCTTGGGACACAAATTGCGAGTAAAAAATGATGGTTACTTGCCTCATATCTTGGATTGTCTGTGTTATGGTTTGTTTACGATGCACATTTCATTTTTACGAGCTAAATGCAACTTATCAATATAATTTCGGCACTTTTGTAATTAAACAACATTTATTTTGTGATGAGATTTCAAAATATTTTCAGCCAAAACCTGTCAGTGTCAATGTCATAATTGTCATTCTTTTTTCTTTTGCAGGAAAAGGCAAAGGCATTTCGCTATACAGCCAAGTTTTTAACTATTCGTAGGTACAATAATGTCGCTAAAATTAATTTGATGATAATTTATTTAAACAAGATAAAATTTATATTTTTGTCTACTTTTCAATTGAATTTTGTACAACTAATGAATAGATGTTTGATTCTGTTGTTACTCTTTCACGTGAAAAATAAAACTATGTACTAAACTGCTTTAGTAAAACTTTTTAGAAAACTTTGGAGGAGGCCTTTGTCCAGCAGTGGCAATAATTTGGGTAAAACGAACGAACGGACGAACTAAACTGGTTTAGATGAAAATTGGTACCAATGAGTTATAATGCCCGACTGGCCGACTCGTGATCGTGATCCGAGAAACGCGGGTTCGATCCCCAGTCGGCCGACTTTTGCGCTTGATGATGAACATAGAATACGAGGTGTTAACGGGATTTTGTAATTTGTTTAGAAATTGTTAATATTCTTCAAAAAATATAAATCAACAATCAATTTAGTATTAACATGGCCTCAATTTAATACTCCAAAGCTTTAGACATTAATAGGGAGCGCAACCGCAGAGCAAAAACGAAAGAGGTGCAAAAAATATAATTCCTTTTTTATTGCATCACAAAATGCTTTACGGCACCTCGCGTCGTCAGGCGTGCTAATTCGCGAGTACGCGGGGGTGAAAATCAAAATGTATTTATTCGCGAACCGTACAAAAAGTCAATATGAGTGGCAATAAAAAGCGGATACCGGGAGAAATAATAAAAGATAACCTTAGGAGTGAATGGAATGAAAGCCCCTGTAAGAATGTTTGGGTAGTGGATAAGGAGCGATCACGGGACACCTCCCCCAAGCGTTGTATGGGAGAAATTAAAACTCGGTTTACAATGAACCTTGCACTGTCTGTGTGAGTCTTTGCATCTGTTATTCGATAGATTGGAACGTATTGATTGATTTGTAGGTAAAGACTCTTTGATGTAAATTAATGCCCAATTACTTTTCCTAACTTTAGTTTATCCATTTAAAAACAATTGAGGAACGTATTTTTCAGGATATAATAAATTGAAAATTCATAAACAAATGAGAGGAAAGATCGAATGAGAAATGAGGAGATCCTTAGGAAAACCCTCAGATCATAGAAATGTAATGTAAACCAAAGTAGGTAATCGATCGCAGAATGCGGGGCGTACGCTCGTAGAGCTGATGGCCGCTGGGGCAAAAGTTCTCGAGTGGTGACCACGAGCCGAAAGACGTAGAGAGGGCAGGCCTCCATTATTTAGGTAGAC